GACATCCCTGGGAAGGTTCGTTTTGTTTTAGAGCCACCCTCAAAAGCTCCGTTTGTTTTAAATTTTTTTTTCTTCTGTTACGAAGAACGAGAAGAAACAGAAAAACGCGATTAAAGACGACGTCGACGGAATTTTAATACGCAGTGTATGATGATAACCGGTTGTTTTAACGCATGCTGTGATATTGAGTGCACGATACCTATGTCGTCTTTACACATGTTATGTTCAATTTATTTTTCTTTTCATCTTGAATGTGTAAGAACAAATGAGATGTCGCGCACTGAATATCATGCTATAAGAGTGATGACTGAACGAAAGAAGAACACAAAAAAAGAATTATCGACTATTCTCTTTGATTAGTAACATACATATATATAAGAGATAATTGAACGAAGAAAGTGGAAAAGAAATTTTTATAAAATTAATGATTTTTGTTACTTATTACATCAGGTTTTACAAAAATATTATTTTACGATCATATTGATTGAATATAATATAATAAAACAGAAGTTCAAATAGATTAAGTGCAGTAGTTGATTTTTTTAAAATAATAATTTACAGTAAAAATTATGGATCTAATATAAAGATTTGTAGAATAGTTTCTCGTGCACCCATTGATGAAGGTGAATATTCAATCGATGTTAGACTTTTTCCGTCAACTATTCATTCATTTATTATGATTTTCAAAAAATGTTTAAACTTATTTATTTAGCTTTAAAATAAATGAATCAAATATAAAATAAACAAAATGGATAAACTAAGTAAATCACTTGAAGTTTTAAAATTATTTTCAACAACAACATGTTATCGAAAGTTTTTTTTGATCTAGAGTTAAATGTGAAAATAATTTTAAATCAGTTACGACTATTGTAAAAGTATTATAAAAGAAATTCTTTTTTTTTAATAATTTTGTATGAATTATAAAATAGGATTATAAAAGATAATCCTAATGTTGAATAAAAAGCATTCAAAGGTTTGTTTTATTTCAATTTCAATTAGATGTTCTATGGCGATTTGACGAATCAGCAATTGCCATACATTCGAAAAAGATTCAACCATTTTATCAGAATATTATGAACTTATTTTTTATATTCTTGGTTGATCAATTAATGATGAAAAAATCAAAGTAAGTAAAAAAGAAAATTCTTGTCATCTAAGAAACCTCTTCTAAAGAAGTAATCAGAAAAAAGTTATGCGATTGAATAGAAACATAGAAAATGATTGTAGAATAGGTAGTCTCATACTATTCGACGAAATACCGATTGAGAAACTGTTCATCATTTGCAGTAAGAATAATAAAATTTTATTTATCATTAAATATCAATGAGAAATGAAATAAATTAGTCATAGTTGATTCGCTAACAATCGTTATAGTTAAGATATGAAGTCGAGTGAGAATGATTTTTTCTTTTTTTTTCCTAATATTAATAATAAATTATTTTCAGGAACCTCTCATGTCCTATTTAGTGAATATGTTATCCTATGAATATAGCACGTTTTCTAATGATAAATGTAATTGGTAAGTTTTCTTTCAAATTATTATTTCAATTAATTATAATTTGTCTTTTATTTTAACAGATCAATTATTTGAGCATTATAATCAAAATCATAGTACAAATTTTAATAATTGGTTATCTTAAATTAAATATCAAAAAATTTCAATCATCATCAAGAAAAAGTCGACGATCAATAACAAGAACTAGAAATATTGATACAAATGAACAACATCTTTCAATCAGTATTTGATAAATAATGAATGGTTTTATTTTCTATGTAAATATTTATTTTTTAATATGTTGATATGATATTTTATATTTGTTTACAACATAAAAGATCATAATGTAATATGAAATTCATTGGAAACACATGAAATTATATTTAAATTTATTTGATTTTGATCAATTATTAATTTCAATTCAAACTGGATTTATAGAAGTAACTTGTATTAGTCACACATTAAACACAAGTAAATATTGTGAAAAGAGAACAACAAGTTTTTATTTTTTCTAAAATAATAGATTATTCAACATATCAACGTTGATTTATTGAAATTAATAAACAACACGATATTTTAGTATATAAAATGAATGATGAATTATATTCAAAATCAATGATTAATAATGAAAAACAAACATCAGTTGCTAAACTTGTTAATCAATTATGTTTTTTTTCCAATTAGACATTTGCTCAATGTGTTAATAATTTGATTATCCTACTGTAAGTATGTTTAATGCTTGTTTGAGATCTTTTTCTTTTTTGTAAAGTTTCAGTTCAGTAAAATACATTTATTTTATAATCCAAAATTATTTTCAATGTTGTAACAGTAGGAGGACTCAGATGAATAGGATAAATCTGATGAAGGAGCTTGTAACAGAGTTTAGTTAACGTGGCTTCAATTGGCTATGGTCTCAAAGTTTTAGTGAAAGTTATCTGATAGATATCAAGATTTTACTATTGAATTGTTGAAACAAAACGATATGAAATTTTAATCTTTTTGAAACCAACAAAAGACTAGAACATTATCAGACTCGAAAATATATCAAGTAGAACACTTTACTAAATAGGTTAGACATACAAAAGTTTTAAAGTCCAGAGGCTGCATTTATATAGCAGAGATTGAAATTATACAATCACATAATTACCTCAAAAACAAAGTTCGAAGCTAAAGTACGAATTCTGTACATATCTAGTACGAAAGAGATGTTCGGTTTTTCATTATGATATGAAATCAATTGTATTCTCGAATGCTTGTAATACATTAAAATCTATCGAACATCGAGGAATCTTTCTTTTTTCTTTAAGATATTACATATCTTTTATCTTTATGTGAACACAGCGATCTATATTTATGTGATACATATGCAAATTTCTTTCCTTGCTACATTAATTAAAAAGAACAATTCATCTTTTAAGACTATTATCATTATCAAATTCATTTAATAATTCTTTTATTAATGAATATTCATTTGTATCAATTGATTCACAAGATAGTTCAAGGTTAGACTAGAATATTAAATCATCTCTTGTTTTTGATAAAAATATTCTTTCTTTTTGTTTTTAAATATATTCAATTAGGTATATTAGCAGAATTACTTTCTACATTTCGATTATGTCTTTAGGATAATAATACACATGTTATACATTTACAATCATAGGAATTGAATTATTAGAAGATTCTACTCAACATAGTATAAGTTCTTATATTCTTGCTAAAGTAGACAAATGAAACTTATGATTACAATAAACTGTTTATGTGTATAAAATAGGTTGCTCTAGCTCAAATTGTGCGTAATATTGATTTTCTTGAATACTAACTTATCTTGAACAACAACAATAACAGACAAAAAAAACAGTAAATTCAAACTAATCATATATAGAAGATAAAAACAATATCTTGTTTTTTTTTGTTTTACTTTTATTTTTAGAATCGATCATGACTTGATCATTGTATTGACATTATCTTTCTATTTCTTACTGATAATGATACAAGTGTGCGTCCAGCAGCTACTTTAACTTTTGCTAAGTATGTCAATTGTAGAGATGTTAGTTAACTAGGTAGTTTTATTTTCGAAGTTAAATAATGCATCAGTCGATTTTATTGTATTAAGTTAGTTACTAAACCCCCCCCCATAATTGAAGACCCCCCATATTAAAAGACCCCCCCATAATAGAAGACCCCTTTGGGAAAAAAACGTGTCCCACATAATAGAAGACCCCCCTATTTATTTAAGATTTTTTTTTTAAATTGAGGATTTTTATTAATGTTTTACCCCGAAACGTGTCTATTTCTGGAGGTTTTCAGCTGAAAATTTTCAAATTGATGAGTTAAACTCTATATTACAGCTTTGAAAATCGTGAAAATCCTTTATCCAATTTTCAAAATCGCTTCGATTCTCTCTGAGGACTTTTTTAATTACAAAAACTTATTAGTGTAGTCACTGTGGAGCCAAAGTGTAGTACTTATTGGACTCAGACTGCTACAAATCTATATTATATTCCCAAAAATGGGTGAAAAAGTTTATTTTCAAAACATATCAAATAAATGGATAGATTACAACTAATTCTATCATTTGAGTTAAAGCATACGCTGTAAAACATTATTCCGACGAAACTATTTCATTTTGAATTCCTATCTCTCCTTCATTCCAGTTATCAGATTTCCTGAATATATTTATAATATTAAGACAAGCGACGCAGAATGTTAAACTTCAAAAAAAAACATTGGTCATAATGATTAATTTCTAGCAGTTTCTGTTCGTACATTTCAAACATTTTTTTTCTAATGGGTTTCTTTTCCTGTTGCTATTCGCAATGTGTTATTCTTCTGTTAATCGAAATTATCATTATTTCGTATCATTCGATTCAAGCTTTAATTTAATGATTAAATAATCTTAGTATAGACATTGGTTCTATCTTCGCCATATTCTAACAATCTTATATGCATACTAATGGACTGAATAAGACACAAAATAAATATTTCTAAAAGTTAGAAAGTAGTTTGATCACGATTTTTTATAACTTATACTACCGTTATGAAAAATCACAAAAGATTATCTTTCAAATGGATCGTATAAACTTTTATCTGCGCAAAAAAAGGAGGCTAGCTTTTTGCGAATGCTCATAGAAATATTCGAACTATTGAAAAGCAATGATTGTAGAAGTTTTCACAGCCTTCCCAGGGAATAAAATAACGAAAAAAATGCCATACTTCATAATGAAAGGGATATAATCATGCATGTTTTGTATTTTCATCGTTTAAAATGAAAGTTTCGCGAGTTAAATTTCATGATTTTGATTTCTAATCGAAATCATTATAATGAAAATGATTAGAAATCAAAATCATGAAATGAGAGTGGTAAAAATTTTGATTTTAATCAATGAAAATAAGAAATATGCATGATTATATCCTTTTCATCATGAAAAATGCCATTTTTTTAATTTTTTTTACATAAGAGCCACCATTTGTTTTCATTTTTTTATTCCACGGGTATTAAATCTAAATGATTGCTACGACATGTAATGGGGAAGAGGGAACAAGCTGAAAAATCTTGACTCAAACCTACGATCACTGTTAGTTCCTTCGAAAATATATGTGAGTTTTCCAAAACTTAAAAACATAATATTTAGAAGAGAAATTAGAAATTATAGATTATAAAATAAGATAGCCGTTGATATTAATTACTTCCTATTGTTTGTTGCTGTGGGAAGATACACAGTGATGTTTTTCCCAGCATCTGGTTACTATAATAAAAATTGAGGAGCCGTAAGACTTGAACTTAAACTTGCATTTACTAAATTCTTCGAAAATAATTGTGATTGTCGAAAAAATCGCAAAAATACGAGAGTCATAATACAAGACCCCCCTAAAAAAATTTTCCGCTTAAACATAATACAAGACCCTGGGTCTTTTAATATGGGGGGGGGGGGGGGGGGTTTAGCTACTTTTTGATTTTAAGGTTTGTTGATCACAATTCATTTTTGTAGTATATCAATGGTCAATACATTATTTACCTAAATGGATCAATTCTTCCTGTCAATGGATGCATAAAATTCATTATTCATTACAACAAATAAATACTTCTGTAATTATATTCAATGAGGGAGTGCAATGTGACACAATATCATGTTTACCAACATTAATATTTGATTGTTTAGCTCAAACATCCACTCAAATATAAATTGTTTGTTATTTTTGTCTTTTATATAAGTTGGATGTTTAGAAGGTATTTATGCTCTTTCAAATGTTTTAGGATCAACAACAATTCGATCATTTTTTTCATAATCAATATGATGAACTTTGTTTACTTATACATCTATTTATATGAAATGATCTTAATAATTTACAATTATTACTCGATAATAATAATTTAATTTTTTGAAGATTTATCAAATCTTAACAAATGAAAAAATGTTTTTAAAGTAGCACAAATGATTCAAGTTATTCAAAAATTGAATTATGTTATTAACGTTCTTGAACTATTGCAAAAAACTTCACAATCATCATTTTTGTTGGGCAGAAGATCATTTTCTATAATTGATATCTCAACTTTCGTAGAAGAAAGGAGTTTTAAAGTTTTAGATTTGAAGAATGTATTGGATCATGCCTTGTCTGAATGAATTCATTTGTTTTTTCGTTTTAGAGAATGATAAAGATTCATCAATAATATCAAACACAAATAAAGATACAAAAGTTAATTTTGAACGATTACTTTCAACAACATTATTTTCTATAAAATCAGTAGTAAGTCTTATTTCTACACAAGATTTATTAAAAAATTTGGAAGAAACACTTAACTATTTTAAATCAACGTTCAATGTGCAAAAGAGGTAAAACTTCTTTTAAATAGTACATATTAGTTAGAAAAATTCAGTTATTAATCTTCTTCTACTAATCGGTTGAGCTAAAACCTTTAGGATGTCGTATTGGGTCTGAACCAGAGACTGGCTGGCAGGGCAAAAACGTTTATCCTATGCCAAAAAAAATTTAAAAAGGCTAATTCTAGTTTAGTTTTTCTGATTAAACAATCAATTAAAATGCGAATGTTTTTAGTCGATTTTAATCTAATTACTTCATCTTCAATTCATTTTGATTGTCATTTCACAAATAATTTTGAATGAATTAAACCTTGTTTATAAAATGAAGTTGATTAGAAATGTAATCGAGTTTTTTTTTTGCTACATGTCTTAAGAAATTTGAATATGAAATGATTACTTGCTCAAAAAGTTTATGAACGGGGGAAAAAAGTACAAGAAAGAAAAGTTGCCTTCCATTCAGAAGACCTAGTTTTAATCGATGAAATTAAAAGATGGTCGATTTTTATCAAACACAAGTCAAGAATAGAAGATCATTTTTTATGTTAGAAGATCACGACGCACTTAAAAAATTTCATAAAACATAACAGAAGACATATGAGTTCTTTAAAATTTTATGTCGAAAATTCTGCTGACTTTATGAAATTCAGCACAAAGAAATTTTGTTTTTCAGTTATAACTTTATTTTTGCGTTATAGGAAAGCATAAGTATAAATAAAAATAAATCTTTATATTTATAAAATGAAGATAGATGAATTATTTATTTTTGAAAATTAAAGAATAAAGAAAGATTTGTTCTGTTATAGATAGATAGACAAATACATAGTATAACAACTGGATATGTGAAGCAATATTCTTTCTTGCCATGAATATCACTTCGACATGTTTTATCATTAGATAATCAAGCGAGTGCATGAAAAAAAGAATATATATGCAAAAAAAACTTTTTGCATAGTTTATATCATCTATGGTGTTTATTTTTGAAAAAATAAAAAAATTTTTAATCTTTATTTAAAAAATATAAAAAATTTTCCGATGTTTATTTTATTAATATAAAAATTGTACTTATATTTATATAATAACGTAAAGAAAATGTGACCCTAGTAAAAAATAAATGTTGTTTTGCAACTAAAATTACTCTCTTCTTTTTTTTAGGATGAGGTTTAGTCACTAAAAGCACCTGAGAATATCATTATTTTATTAAAACTTAAAATCTTGCAATAGACATACTCACTTTATAAGTATTATTCTACTCTGTCTACACCCTATGTTCAGTTCCTAGAGCAGGTCAAGAAAAGAAATACTCTGTGATAGTCTCTTATCCAAAACTTGTCTGTGGATAGAATTTTAGATGGAAATCTTATAATCAAGATTTCAGGAATAGTCTAATCCAGAAAAAGAAAATTTCAATATAAGAATATCATAGTAACAGAAAAACTGATTTTGCAAATATTGACGGTTTTAATGAGAGAATAGTTTATTGTGAAAGTGTCACATCTTTTCATTTGTTTCTCTCTTGAAATTCGAAATTTGAAAATTATTTTTTTCTGTTAACACACAATTGTTACCTCACAAGTACCAATAAATAATTCTTTAAATAATATTCATACAATAACTATTCGACAATTGATTATTTATTTTATTTGGTTCATGTTATATATCAAATATAAATAGTGATCAATCCATAGAATATAGTGCAATGCGAGAGTAAAATAAACAAAAAAAAACGAATTTGATCTATTCTGTTTTTTTTTTGTTTTCTATTTTAGTTTTTATTGAACTCGATTTACTTGTTCAATTACTTTTAATTCGTGTTAATTATAGTTGATTAAATGCTGATGAATTTTCGTTTATTTTTTAAACAGCATTTTCTTACTCATATAATCTATCAACTGGAAATGATTTAAGAAACTATGCCAGATTATGATATATCATCACATTTTATTTATAGTATTGCTAAATTCCTTGTTATGTTATCACATGATACACTTCATTCAAAACAAGTTATTTAAGTACAAGATTTAATAAAATATTGTGATTAATTATTAGCAAACGGACATGAACTTGAAACACATGGTAGGAAGTAAAAACAAAAAAATATATTTTCGAGAAAAATAAGTTATCGCTAAAATTCTTTATTTAGCTTTAGCAGCATTAGAACCAGTTGTATATGATTTATTTCTTGTTGAAACCTTACTTGAACTTGTTCAATACAACAAAGTAATGTAATATTGTAAGAAATAGTCCCCATTCGAATAATTAAAATTCCTAAAACGTTTTATTAAATGAGAGTGAACAAAACATGTTCTTCCATCAGGTCTCAAATATCGTAGAAACTCGAGAGGATATTAGTGTGGATGTGTAGGTGTAATTTTTCTCCTCAATTGAATCCACGCCCACAGTTCAACGAATCAATGATCTGAAAATAACTATATTGTTGATGCCAAGAACTCGACAATATTTGAAGATAACAATCTTCGGTTATGTATTTTATAAAAGATACGATAATAAAAAGTTTACAGAAAAACTAGGCATCTTAATTATTGTAAATAAAAGCATCTTTTCATATCGTCTGTACGTACTAAACAAAGCAATAATAGAATTTATATTTTTATAGACTTTGCAATTTTTAACAATAATTGTTGATAGTGTTCGACATGAAAGTGATAAATGGAAAATGTTTTTCACGACTAATTTTCGATGTACTTCTTGTTCATTTACAATCACATGTTACTCTACTGGTTTATCTAAGGTTATTTTTCTTTTTTAAGAGAGCCTCGATGATACCATGGAGGCTCTCTTAAATGACTGATGAAAGTTGTGGAAAAAAAAATGTTGTTAAGTACTTATTCAGATGAACAACGGGTTGATGTAGGCAATTTTTAGAAACAAGAGTGTATAGCAGCGCTACATGTGTGTCTTATAATTATGACATTAGAGCATCATAAATGGTTCAAAGCACTTATGAAATAGAAGGTTATATTTTGTCGTCTAAATATTATAGTCAATTGTATATGATGCATAATCATTCTTGATAAATTTTGAATCGAATTTTTTTATAATATAATTAAAGGGAAAAAAATCTAGAGAAAATTCTTATTTCATATCTTTCATGTCAAAAAAATACTTAGCTGAACTTCAAGAAATAATTCTTTCCAGATTCTTATGTTCTTGATGAACCCAAACATGATTCTTTTTTATCCTAGATTCTTGTTTCTTTTCGATCTCAAAAAATCTTGATGAATCAGTCAAGAAAAATAAGAATCTGACAATAAACGTTTCAAGAATGTCAACGAGTGTAAACTATATATATTTCATATAAGATAATCAAATTAACAACTCAAAATAGCTTGAATCATTAAACTACGATTAGTTTCCTTAATTCAATTTTCATATATCATTAGAATATAATAAGAAGAAAATCATGTAAATTACATGAAAGAATCATCTAAAGCATAGAATTCGATCTAAGAAATCGAATGATGTTATTAATTCCATAATTTATCACAAAAAAAAAATTTTTTTCTTTTTGCTCACATCTCCATAAAATTGAATTTGATTATCAAATTAGAAAACAAAAAAGATAGTTGAGATCATTACATTAGAAATGAAATAGAACGATCAATTTTTAACAATATATATATTTTTTTTCTTTCACAATTGCTATTCATACTAAAGAATAATTGGTTTTGAATAGAAACTAAATGAAAAGATTGAATAAATATTGTAGAAGAAAATTATGAGTTCTTTTTCTAAATATATAAAAACTTATGATTGTAAAAGAACTAGATACTTGAAAAATCTTTTGAAATCGACTAATACTAAACAACCTCTTTCCTATCACAGAGATGAATTGTAA